TGCGAGAGTTAAATTAGTTTCCGGGGCAAAAGCTGGCTGCCGGCCGGTTTTCAGGACTAACCCCGTGTATAATTCCAGAACAGCTCCATCAGGCCGGAACCCACGAAGAACCTTCTATCCAGGCGATCCACCGCCTCCGCCAGTGCCACACGAAGCATCCCCTAGCCCACGTGTGGCCCCGTCGCGCCCACCACCACCACCTTCCCGGACTTCGCGGGCGCTGCAGTTTGCGAAGTTAATTACCGTCGGATAATTGCACCCTATATGCCGTCCGTCTGATTAATGAGGCGCGGCCGGACGAGGATCATCAGGGATACTAGAGCCCAGCCCCTCGCTCCTTTCTCTTGTCGTTGAAGGGGCGGTTCGCGGTTTCCTCGGGATAACGAATTATTAGTTTGTCCGCGCCCGCTTACCGCTTCATTACGCTATTTCGCGGTCACCTTTTGCGGCCTCGTCGCCGTTGTCGGCCGCCGCGCCGAAAGTTCGGGATTAACGAATCTGAAGTTTTTAGAGAGCGCAATTTGCTCGGGAGTGCGCGTCACATTAATATTTCCTTCAACCGGTCGCGACTTAGAGATGCTGAACGCTTCAATTTCATTCGAGAGCTGTCTTACACGTCCTGCCCCTCTCGTCCTTGCTTCGTTAATTGTACACAAAGAACGTTCCGCGGAGTTAACCGCGTGCCAACTTCCGGTCGCGAGATTTTCCAAAAGCCGCGAAATTAAAAGCAATCTCTGAAGCAGATGTTTTCATCAAAAAAAGAAGACGAGTCCCCTTTTTCACAAGGGACAAAATTTGACAACATTTCCATCCGATCTGTTACGCGCCGTCTGTTACGTCCTGCAGTGACTCTGGATTCCTAATTTCCTTACACTTGCGGATCCCTGTATCTAAGATCCACTATACCGAAATGCGATTGCTTGTGGAGTTGGGAGGACCTGGATTAATTAATATTTGCGCAATCACGGTATTGCTCTCGGTTATCTCTGGAGGTTGTTCCAGAAACGATTCCTTCGAGGGATCCTCGAGAGGACACACAGGCTTCCGCAGGAAATGCTTTCGCGCGGCTTGCGGTTGCACCTTGCACGAGCATGCAAAGCAGCCGTCTTCCTCGGCTAGGACCCCTCCTACTTGAAGAGGGAAACTCAGCAAGATCTCGAAAGGCTGCTTCAACGGCGACGGGCTTGATTACTGACGTTACGTCGCGACGTCGATTCCAACGTATATGCACATCCTTAACAGGACACTCTGTGCACGGGTAGGCGATCAAAGAGCGCCGATTGTTAATTAATTAACACCGGCAAGCGCGGTATATATCGTGAGTGGGAAGCAGCCTGGAATTCTGACGAGCCGTGCGTCGCGATTCAGCGTGTCGTACGCGCCCCATGATGTCTACTGAAACATGTCGCTGAAGCGAGTGTGACGAGTGAACGAGCAAAGTGAACGGGCAAAGAGATGGAAAAACGAAGGACCGCATCCGATTTATCTCGAATTCGCCTAACTCACCTCGAACGCAACTTCGATGGGATTTTCTTCGTTTCGGGCTAACGAGTCGCCGTAGACCAGGACTTGAGACGACTTCGAGGAGCGAGAAATTTCGCGAATTGCACAGCGCCCAAGCAACGTGTCGCCCGGGGCTCTATATAGCGCGCAACACAGTCTAGATTCTTCCATTCTCTTCTAAACTGCGCCCATTTAACCGAGCCAAATACGGGCTTCGTAAACAGCATGCGCGCACTTTCATCTCGGCGATTTACGGAGCCGTGCTGACAGTTGCTGCTAGCGCCGGCTTTTGCAATTCATGATCAGAAAAGCTCCGGCAGGCTCTCGAAATCGGCGACGCATGGAGGCCCGGCTATTTGTTTCCAACGCGCGACGAGTGTAACTGAACGTTTTCAGCTGCAAAATGACGCTCCGGGCCCGGGCATCGTGTAAACACGCGGATTCAGCGCGGCAAAACCGTCTTTCTCTATTTTTTTTTTCTTTTTTTACGCTCTCCTCCTCCGACGCGCTACGTTTTCATTCGCCTTTCGCCCGCGGGCGCTCCGCTACATAAAGGCTCATTTTCACGTGGTGTTGCGCCACAGTGATCGGTGTCACTCCTCTGTCATTTTCCCGCCGCTGTTACCTCACCGACATCACAATGGACAATGTAAAGTGCAACCATGCGCAGGAGCGAGAGCGGCTGGCGGAGATTCGAGCACCGTTCCAAGTTTAGATAAAAAGTTCCAGCACAGGTGGCGGGAAATTCAGTTACAGATTAGGGCACATGCAGACGCTCGGCGAGGTAGTCGCGCTGGCTGGAACCCGCGCGCGCGCGTGTGTGTGTGTGTGTGTGTAGGTGCCGCAGAACTGGAAATCTATTCACCTCCGTAATCCTTCGAACGCCATTATTAGACCATTGAGATTTTATCCGCATTTCAACGCGAAGGGGGTCACGGTGCTTGCTGCTTGCCGGCGCACGCAACATATTTCCATTCATCGTGCCGTTATCATTCACGTCCATCAGTCGGCCGGCGCAATATGACGCAATCATCATCGCGGCATAAAATTTACTGCGCCGAGCGTAAAATTCATCGTTCACCGGAACGTTCGCCGACGCCACGCGCGTACACTGTCACGGGAGATCGTTACGAGTGACCAATGCTCGGCCCCCGCCGATCTAATCTAACGAACCGACACGTCCCGTCGCTAACTTTAAAATACGCACCGCGCATAAATATGCGCCTAAGATCGACGCGCGACGCCCCTCGTCACCGGCCTTTTTCGCATCGGCGAGGCGCAATTCCCTCGCCCCGCCCGAGAACGAATTCAATAACGTAGCCGATCGGCGCCGCGGCATTTTATGCCGCAGTGCAGACGCCAACGCTCTGGATTGGTTTCAAGAAATATCAGCGCACGGAAATATCAGTAAGCGCTACTCTGTGACACGGCTTAGAGAGATGCCGGTGAGAGATACGGCACGTCTCTGATTGCGTTCCTTAGTTCGCAGCCACCCCTTACTGTCCACCCCCGTCTACCCCGCCGCCCGTTTCGGCGCCAGCCGCGCTTACCCTCTCTTCCCCTTTTGCCTTCTCTTCTTAGCAGTACAGCTATTCTCTCTCTCTCTCTCTCTCTCTCTCTCTCTCTCTCTCTCTCTCTCTCTCTCTCTCTCTCTCTCTCTCTCTCTCTTTCTCGTGGTTCTTCTTTTGTCCGAGACAGAAGAGACCCAGGGTCGGATTGAATGCTTTACTTTCGAGAATTGCTTTACCTTCAGCTCCGATACCGATACAATGACGTATTATCGGAGTTACGAGTTTGACGTTTTAGAAGTGAATGAGAATCCGTCGGAAGCACTCTCGAACGTCCGGCTAAACGTATCATGTACGATCAGGAGGGCATAATTGTAGCTGATAATGATTTTGCTCAAAGCAAAATCCAAAGTTGAGGAGGACGGAGTAGTATCAACGCCCCAATCTGTATATATTTCCAATTCCCTACGACCGTTGAAGAATGCCTGAAGCATTCTCCCTCTCCCACGCCGCTCGCGAATGAAGAAATAAGGAAGGAGCGAATAAATTGACAAAACCAACAATCCCGGAAAGATGACGCGTTTACAGCGGAGCGAACGATAATATGTCTGAAGCAAATGGAAGTACCTAACTAAGCTGTTCAAATGACGCAACCACTGCACGCCACACATGGGACGCCACTAACAACCCCCGGGGGGTGAAAATTTGCGCCGGCGGCCCTGGGCTGAGACGGCGCGCTTAGAGTAAACGGAGGAGAGAAGAACGAAGAAGCTTTACAGAATTAAGGAGCCATTCGCCTTTCATTAACTCACTGTGGGCCCAAGGGAGGAGAGATATCCCCTTCGTGCTAACTCACCCCCGGTTTGTCACCGCGCACAGACAGCGGAAAGAGACTGTCTCCGATAGAAGGACCAGACTTTTATCATGCCACGAGACCATTTACCGCCGCTACCGCCACCGCCGCCGCCGCCGCCGCCGCAGCCGCCGCCGCGGCCGCCGTCGTCGCTTGGCAAATAGGTAAACGAGATCCTTTCCGATTCCGCTTAACTCTTCGGCCGCGCGATCTAGATTGCGCTACTTCGTTAATCAAGACGATAGAATACGCGACCCACCCGCGTTTTCAAGCTCTCAGCGCCTCTCCTCCCTCCCCCCGCCCCCTCCCTCTTCTCTCTCCTCTCGCCGCGTTTGTTTTCTCCCCGGTACGCGTCCTCGAGTTTTAGATTAAATCTAGGATAATCTAGGTGGCTCTCTTGATCGCTTTAATACTCTCTAAGACAATCCCACTGACGTATAATTATGGCTGATTATAGTTAATGAGCAATTGCAGTTTGCAAGAAGCTCTCTTTTGTTTGCTCCCTGGCTGAAGGAAGATTTGCTGATCGAGCAAAACGTTGCTGCGTTGCCCGCGCGAATGCGCGCTTCTTCGCGTGTATTAAACATCGTGAATTCATAAGTGCAACGAATTTGGTCTAATTATGCCCAAAATATTATATAAATAATAACGATGCAATATCAGGGGATCGAAATATTATATTTTTCGTGGTTTTTAAATTCCTCATGAAGCTTCTATTCAGCCAACACTTCCGTCAAATCCAAATAAATTCGTAAACCAAACCAAATGTTGCAGACTACTTTATGCACGACGATTATTCTCGCGCACTTATATAGATTATGTGTAGTTTGGACTATATTATATTAAATTGAGCATTGCTGAAGAGATGAAGTACCGATACAGCCCAAAGTAGCAATTTAATTTTCAAGTAAAGATACCTATTAGCCGTGCCAAGCGGCGAGATTAGAAATTATTCATTACAGCCAAAATAGCGTTTAATTCTGGCGGTATTTCGTCTGCTTGGGCGGCGACGTTGGTGCTGGCTTAACAGCGGTCTCGCAGAGATCCAACTGCACAATCAGCAGATTAATCTTTCCCGCCGTCAGGCAATCGGACCGCACACCTACGCATATCGACCCCTCGGTGTTAAGACTTACCGGGATCGGAAGAGGGATGCGCCCTGGTGAGTCTGCAGAGTTGTAATGGCAGATAACGAGTATCTGCTCGCGGTGGTGACTTCGGTGGCGGCGGCGTCGCGCTGAGGAAACCGCGCTGAAGTTCCCAGCCCACTTCCTGGATAATCGAAGCCTTCCTGAAGTATGGCGTCACCTCTCGCAGGTACTTGACTGCAACGAGAGAGAACGCGTCATAGTTTTGCCGAGCGGAACAAAATAAGACACAAATGTTCATGCCTTAATTCTTAATCCTCCGAGTTCTCACGCTGACGAAGAGTCTACTCTCTGAATTCGAGGAGTGACAAGGAATCTACGCGAGTGTCAGTGCTAGTGCTAGTGTTAATGCTAAACAAATGCTAACAAAACAGCCAGGATGCGAGGGCAAAAAACGCGAAGGACGCGGAGGACGCAGAACGGCTAGACGCGCAAGGCGACGCATCATATATTTTCAGGTGCGTCAAGTCGTTTGTTATGCAAGAAGTTTCCGCATCTTTAGCGGACGTTTGATGAATACATGAGGAATAAAAACGTAGTCGAGTCGTGATTTGCAGGATCGGAGCTCATAGATCGTTATTATATAACGACTAATTATAATTCCATTAATTTGCGATTACTCGGCAATCTGTGTACTTGGCAATTGTGTGCTTATTATATTACATTAAATAAAAAATACTCATGCAAACAGGCAGCCAAGTAACAGTCCATGAATACGAATCTGTAATTAATTGTGCTCTCAATCAAAGATCCTGAATAATTCACAACTATGAATATCGGCTTTGGATTATAGTATAAATCTTGTAAATGTTGATTTTTATGTCAAGTGCTCTTCAAACCGCGAGAACGATTTTATTCGCATATAGTACTGTTTTCTTTCCACTACTGCTGTACTTATTATTGTATAGAATCAAAATTTAGATCTCTATTGGCGTATGTAGCATTATCCGACATAATTATCTCTTGCTTTTACAGCTTCTTATCAACTCTTTCAAGAGCTGCAAATTCTATCGAGATTTTCAACACAGAAAAAAAGAAAAATTAATTGCTGCGGAAACAAAAATACGTTGCGCGCCTCTTACTTATTTAAGTATTTGTCAAATTATAGCATTTGCTTATCTCCCATATTCTATTTATAGTTGGATAAATTATACAATTAATATTTTACTGACTGGACATTAAACAACCCCCTAAAATGAGTCTTTTTTTAAGATCCATGAACAAAGTAGCAACACTCGACATGAAGGAAGCACAATTTAATAAATAACAATTTGCAGCAACAAGGTACGTGTCAATGATTGTATCTCGAAATTCCTCATTGGTTCTTCAGGTTCGACAGCAGGAGCTAGCTAGGGTTGATGCAAGATCAAAATTTCGTCTCGGGCAGACTCGACTCACGTCTGTGAAAGGAAAGTCGTGTCGTGAAAATCGAGTATCGACCTTTCGAATACGACGCCAGCACTCTCGCTTAACCGACATCTTGTCGGCCCTATTACGCGAAATTTAATGGAGAACGCGCCGTCACGTGGCGACAGCGGCAGGACAGGGGTGGAATTCTGATGTATCGTATCCACGATGATCTAATATGTCCGCTATAGCGTTCCACGTGGATAATATGTGCAGCCCTGTAGCTAGCCATATTTACTCCCTCTCAATCCCCAAACGACATTTCCGCGCGGATCGCGCCAATCCTCTTGATTGAATATATCAGCATTCATCAGTGTCGGCTCCGTCGCCTTGATGCGATCTCAGCCTCGTACGGATTATAACAAGCTGTTTGTCCAGACCAATCCGAACGACATGTAACACTCAATGCGCATACAAATATATATTTTAGTATATATTCTATAGAGTACACTCTATAGATTCTATAGATTTTATAGAAATTTCCATGGACATGGATCCTCCTCCATGGAATTATCCTCTCTTGAATGTATAAAGTGCGCACCCATAAGTAAGCAAGAACTAGCATACATGAAAAAGTAAAGTGGGCAGGATGTGCAACTGATCATTGATCGAAACAGAAGAGCTTTATCTACGAATTCTTAAGCATGCAGTATTTTATCTCGAAACACCGATTGCGCTAATGGGTTACCCTGGCATCGCGGTTGGTAATCGGGGCTATCAAGCCCAGTCAAGCTATCGAACTGCGAAGTCAAACAGATTAATAGCAAGATCACACGTTCGTTTAAGGGCAAAATTATCCGAGCAACACGTTCTCAGGATATAGCCAATTTCGCACTGAAAGGGTCAAAACCGTGGAGCGCTCCGCGGCCAAAGATCAAGCTCTCCTGTCCAACTTTTCATGCGCGCACGTATCTCCGCGACCTGGCCGCGTATGCCGACGCGCGACGTGTTTCTATTGAATTTATTTCAGTGCCCTGGACGGCGTACGTTGCTGATTGCAACTACACCGAGCTGGCCACCGGACCCGACGTAGCGCGACACTTCGCTTGCCAGTCACGTATTCCTGCATCATTTGCTATGGGTTTCATACCAGCCATAACTCTACGGATATATCCAACCACCCTCCCCCCGACCCACCCCCTGTAGCCTTGCACCAATTCCACCCCGTGGCTCCCGTAACCCGCGCGAGCTCACAGCTTTCAAGCCCTGCCGAATCCCGCGCCATAAATGCCGCGCCGAGGTTGTCTTCCCGGAGCTCTCGCAGCTCTTAATCCGCCGCGCATTCATCGAGCGAGGAAATGGCGTCGGGATTAATCAAGTCTCGCCTGTCGCCGTTAATTTGAGCAAAGGCCGCCAATTTTCATTCGCCAGCGAGCTGTTAATCGCGAGGCGGCCTTTGATGAAGCGGAATTCGCGACGGGACTGAATGGCATTGTGCCGCTTGCAAGCCAGCGAGAGGCACAGCGTCGCGGAATGATGTGACGAAGAGACCCGCTGAACCTTGATTGAGCCTTCGCGCAGGTTTGTTTAATGGCGATTGTGACGAGCCCGACAGACTTGCGCTAATTGCATTCAGATCCGTCGCAATCGATTCGGGCGCTTAAGTTTCCCGAACGTGAAATAACTGCGAACGTGCGCGTCGCGCTAGTCCGACCGAAACGCGCGCGATGAGTGGACGAGGGGAATCCCGGCAGCGGCAGGGGAGGGAACGGGAGGAGAGGCCCGGGTGGGAAATACGAGGTGGAGACGTCGATTTCCCGGTCGTTGCGAGATTTACATATTTCGTCATTTCATCGTCCTCACGAAAGAAAAAAAAACGGATTGGGGTGGGGTGGGGTGAGGTGGGGGATTTTTCTCCTTAGTCACAAAGTTAATTCAGCGAATACCCTTAACGTTTCGGCTCTCGTGATTATCATATTTAATAATGAATTTTTGCCATCAGCGTGAGAAAATTCCGCGCATAATGTTTGCCTCTCATTTCCATGATGAGAAACCCATTAGTGGCTCAATGCCTGACCCTACTCCCGGAATATCAGTTTCGGATCCGGAGCCGTGGAGCTAATGAGGATCACTTGCATATTAAACTTCCCGTGTTCAACCTCTGTTTCGAGAAAGAAAAAAACAGCTACAACTTTTTTACGGTTTATATAAAAACACTGGCACGCATGCGCGCGAGTCTTCACTCGGATCTTCGGGCTTGAAAATCTGTCGCTGGCGGAAGCAGCGGCATCCGGAGCGCTTTAAGAAATTGACATTTGAACAAAAAGTTCATTGGCCCGAAAGCCCGGCAGACCGTTGAGCGCGGGCTCCATCGTCGCATTCTGCTCGCATTCGCCGTCGAATCGAGAGCGCCGAAACGCTGGATAGCCGGGGCAGCGTTGCGAATCAATCGACCATAATCGCGCCCGTTGAATCGCGTTCTCCCGTTTCCGGCGTCTGTAAAAAGCGTTTCGATGGCCGCCGCGCGCGCCGAATATCAATGGCGCATCTCACCCCGAAAGCTGACCCCTGCATCCAGGAAGGATGCCGCTGCCCGCGCGTCGTCCTTGCTGCGGCCAGATAGGGAGCTAATAAACTGAAAGCGAGGAGGGCGGGGGAGGTGAGGCTATCGCGCCCCACTTGATAAATCGACTGTGGTCCGATCCCAAGATCGTAATTTGATTTAATCTTCACCTCGCGCGCGCGCGCGCGCCCTCCCGCTTTACACCGAAGGATCATCGTACGAAAATTCGAGTTCTCTCGGGCTGCGATGCGCGGAAATCGACGGTGTTCTAATTCAATTTTAATATCGTCCTTAATCCTTCGACGTTGGCATAATTTCTCGGAGACAAGTAAAATCTACGAACGAGGAAGCGTTCACGACACGATCGGAGGGTACAGCCGCTTCTCTTGCGGTCTTTTGTGAACGTGAGAGAAAATCTATGATGATAATACTATCTTTGGTATTATATTATTATTCGGTTATGAAGTATTTTGAGATTTTTTCTTGGGAAATTTATTGGAGAACCCGAATTTATTCACGAGAAAAGGCTGACACGCTGCGCGTTTCTTCAATTACGCCAACCTCGTTATCAAATGTCACCTTGATCCGTTCTTGCGATATTTTGTTTTATTATTTATTGTACTTTTTTTTATTTCATTTGCGAATCTCGCCTCGTCGACGGAATATCTCTAAAGCGAATGTAGCAGCTTGCACAGATAAAAAGGAGGACAATATCGTGAAGAGCGTGTCTGGCTGCTCGTCTTGGGACCAATACCCGTTTCGAATTCTCCCGCTGCGATTGGCAACAGGATTCGAATCCTGCAAGCCCTTACGAGGCGAGAACCTATTTCTTTCTCCGCGACGCGCTTGCCGTAAAGCCTCCAAGAATCTCTCTCAAAGGATCCCTCGTACAACGAAGCGTTCCCAACGTAGGGCAGATTTCTCGACAAATTTCTGAGTCCCCGTAAATCCTGATAGGACCGCTGCGAGCAGTCCTGGGAGTAAGACGTTAGCCAGAAAGTCCTAGCGATTCGCTCTTCGCTTCTTCACCTCTCCTTTACGAAAAGCGCGATTTGAGAGAAACGTATCTCTTAGCTCTCTTTAGCGGACGTTTTGGTTCTCTTGCGTTAATGCTTCGAGCAAAAGTAGTAGAAGGCAAATAGTAGTAGAAGGCAAGTAGAATCAGTATCAACAATAGACTAGTCTTCTACAGAACTCTTTTGCGGGACTTTCACAAAGCTAGAAATTGTAAAATTGTAAAATCAGGATTTGTAAAATCAGGAAATCA